AAAAATGCTTTGAGCGAAACAACCGTAATTCTCATTTGAATGTTTCACGTACAAATATATGATTACTCAAGCTGATGCCAAACACATAGTTGCGCAGCTTACATACAAAGCCACGTGAGAAAGGAACTCCTGTACTAGCTGAAATGTAAAGAGCACTCTTGTGCATCTGGATGCGGGCGTGCAAAGCGTGAGTACTTCTGAGCCTGTTGAAAATGGTTTCAAGATATACAATACTAAACTGGAGTGATTATCAACATTCCATCATTCGAGATTCAGACTTACCTGCATAAATATTGGCAATCCCATAAAGACAGGAAAGGGCGAGAGACAAACAGAGGTTGATACACATAGTAAATCAATCGACCCCCTGCTTTCGACATCATCAAGTGGGAGGTATTCATAAAAAAGCTTGCAACGATTGACGCTTACAAGTCTCATTATCTTCAGGCAAAAAAAAAAAAAAACGGCACTGGTCAGTTTTTCTCCTTTTTCCTTTTCTAGGAATAAAAACACTTTGAAAGATATTTATTTTAATCTAGCAGCGGTTAAACTATGGTCGTTTAAATTGTCGAAGAAACTTCCTCTGTGTGCTGTGCTGAATTATATGAGCTATTATACGAGTTTAAGCAGGAAAAAATGTGATGACTTACTCATTCTTAGCGTTATTTCCTGAAATTATACAGTAATGGCCATGCAGTCCGGAGGGCAGCAGCATACTGAGAGCAAAAATTACATTCCTTCGTTCCTATAGGCATTTGGATTCGTAGAATATTTTCCAGATATGTTTGTCACAGAAAATAAACAAATTAGAATTGGCCGGTGATGCACTGATGCACTTTGCACGGAAGTTCTTTGCTTAACAGACGCGCAAATCGATAAAAATTGCGCACACGACAATGAAGCTTCAAGATGCAATTCTCCACCGTCGTCCGACGTTTACTGATGTTTCTCGAGATACAAAATATCACGGAGGGTGAATTTTCGAGGTGGCTGGTTCAAAAATATTTGAAAAGGAAGAAGTGTGTTGTGACTTGTGACGTGACATACTGAGCAACAAGCTGGAAGATATTTTCAAACCAATCGACTACCGTATACAGTGGGCCCCCATCTTACGTCATCAATCCGTTCCAGGATGGACGTCGTAACATGGGGCCGTCATAAGTTGAAACCCTATTTCCCTTAAGGTTACATTATAAAAAAATTAATTCGTTCCAGAAAAAAAAATTTAAAATAAAATTACCTTTATATATCAAATTTTTGTCAGAAATTGCTTTAATAGACAAAAGACATGTTTGAAAGACTGAATAAAACAAAAGTGATAGGGGGTAAGGTAGTGAAATAGGGGCGGAGAATGATTTTCACAATTTTGAGCACTTTTCACAACTTTTTTTCTCATCTTCTTTACACCTTTCTTTTTTCAATTGGATAGTTATTACTTTTTTAACTTTCTTAGGTGCCATCTCAACAGATGGATAATCCCTCCTAAAAACAGTTATTCAGCAATAATTGGCACAAAAAATACTCACTTCCTCTCAGGAAAACTGCTGGTACATGCATGGCACAAAAAAAACGGTTGGTGGGAGGGAGCTGAAGAACCTCAGTAGCTGTCGTATCATGAAACCCTGACGTAAGTCGGGGGTTTTTTTAATAATAAAAAATCGTCGTAAGTTGAAACCGACGTAACATGGGCCCGTCGTAAGTCGGGGGCCCACTGTATTCAACTGCGGCATTGCCAGTGACATCTTGGAGAATCCGCCGAAGAGTTTTCCCGATGCAAGGGCGTTCTGAAGCATTATCTATAATGATTGCTTCCAAGATTTTTTAGAAGTCATTTTTGTCAATCACTCTAAATTACTGTATATCAGCAAGGAGTATAGCTTCTGAAGCAGTCGTGAACAACTTGTTTTAAAAAGTTCCCACGTTGAAGCGAAGTTTCATGCAACGATTCGCACGACTGTGTTGTGACCGTTGTCCTTTTTTATGCAAGATCTGGTGTGCAGATCCCATCTTTTGCAAAAAATTTCTATTGTATTGCATGAAAAGGGACCTTCAGCATTCTGCCCTGTCTCGTTCTCATTTACTCGCCGAGCTGTCTTGAATTTCAGAAGCTGCGAATTGAATCGTATTGTTCCACCTAACCATATCTTGTATCTGCCGAAGAAACGCAAAGGACACTCACCTGGATGCGAATCAGCTGACCAAACAACACGTTCACTATTCTGCTGCGTTTGAAAGCAGATGAATTTAAAGATATGAAAATTCAGTATCATTTTCTTGCCATCCACAAGTGCATGCCTCGTCGGATTTCGTTTCCTAGCCGATTATATTATCCTTCCTGGGCAGATCCCTGCATCCCTATTGGACATACTTTGTAGGCGTGTGTTGTTGGGAGAATTTTCCTTTGGGTGTGAAGTTTCTTTCCGCAGTGAATCTTTGCAGGTGTTACATATTGGAGGTGACCAGATTGAGAAAGGGCTTGAAAAATACACACCTTAAAGCATGAAATTTTCGGTGCGTGTTCGAGGGGAGTGGTTGCAGATTGCTGACAAGTCAGGTGAGTGCCCCTGGAAATCTTTTTGCGTTATTAGCAGTGAGTTATTAAAGTGTGATTTGCCGTGTATTGTTTTAATGGCAAGTGGAAAATAAAATCACGCACAAGGTTCGGAAATAGATATCACAAACCAAAATTACGCAGCAAAAATCAAGAGTTGGGACGGCATTGATTTAAAAAAAAATGAACCATCTGAGCGTGCTGCTTCTGTTGCAAGTTTTCTTCGAAAATTATAAATTCGTTCAATTGATTCGTCCCGAGCATCATTTCACTGTAGATTTCATCTTTGTATGTTGAGTTCATTTGCGGACGCCCACGTTAAATTGAAGGTGACATTCATTAGTATCTTCCAAATTATAAGATATGGATCTTAGATAATTTAATAAAAAAAAGCATGGCAATCCTGAGAGCTTGGATCATCCTGCGGATGAGGACTAAAATACCATTACTCTGCATATGGAAACCTGAACTTATAAACCAGCTATTTGGTGTGATTGTCTTATTTTGAACAAGGGTCCACGATTCAATTTTAATTAATTTAATGACACCCGTTCGGTCTCGAAACGACGATGAAAATAAGCCTAGCTTGAATTTTGGGTGGCAGGTGGATGAGCCCATTACCCTCAAGGTTAAATTTGCTGAACAATGAACAGTGAGCCATTATACTGTATATCTATTTTCTGGTTCCATCTTTTGTACACTTTTAGTATGCAATATGCTGGTTATGGCATGAGCTAGAAACTTGATACCGATCTATAACCAACTTCTTCAAGTACAGTATTTTAATAACTGGAAGTGAAAGAGGAGTGGGTGTCTTCGGCAATAACTTATTCTCTATATTCTTAGTCACTTCACAAACCTACTAGTAAATTAAAGCTAGAATTTATTTTTCAATGCCTCAGCTCGACGCTCTGAAATTTCTGAAATTATTTCCATAAGCTGCAAGGACATTCTGAATGTATTGTAATTAAATGCTCCGTTGTCCTCTCCCGTTAGTCGATTCATTGATAGACAGCTTCGAAGTGCGGGATTTCCCTTGGAAAATGCATTCGACGTTTGTAATCATTCCGGGTCAATTTAATGCTCCAACCCGATTGTAAGACATCCTTCGACTCTTGAGCATTGCTTCCGGATTTTATATCTCCGTTCCTGAAGCAGCTGTAAGCAGGCGTACAAGNATCTTCTTTACACCTTTCTTTTTTCAATTGGATAGTTATTACTTTTTTAACTTTCTTAGGTGCCATCTCAACAGATGGAGGGCTTGGTTCACACACTCAAAATTTTAAATGCCTGGAATAAACATTTAGTTGAGTTTTAAAATTGTAAGAATGGATAATTTTCTGTCAAATTATTAAATTCCTCCTAAACAAAATTATTCAGCTATAATGAAATGCACAGGGCAGCACAGAACACACAAAATTCAAAATCCCTCCTAAAAACAGTTATTCAGCAATAATTGGCACAAAAAATACTCACTTCCTCTCAGGAAAACTGCTGGTACATGCATGGCACAAAAAAAACGGTTGGTGGGAGGGAGCTGAAGAACCTCAGAAGCTGTCGTATCATGAAACCCTGACGTAAGTCGGGGGTTTTTTTAATAATAAAAAATCGTCGTAAGTTGAAACCGACGTAACATGGGCCCGTCGTAAGTCGGGGGCCCACTGTATTCAACTGCGGCATTGCCAGTGACATCTTGGAGAATCCGCCGAAGAGTTTTCCCGATGCAAGGGCGTTCTGAAGCATTATCTATAATGATTGCTTCCAAGATTTTTTAGAAGTCATTTTTGTCAATCACTCTAAATTACTGTATATCAGCAAGGAGTATAGCTTCTGAAGCAGTCGTGAACAACTTGTTTTAAAAAGTTCCCACGTTGAAGCGAAGTTTCATGCAACGATTCGCACGACTGTGTTGTGACCGTTGTCCTTTTTTATGCAAGATCTGGTGTGCAGATCCCATCTTTTGCAAAAAATTTCTATTGTATTGCATGAAAAGGGACCTTCAGCATTCTGCCCTGTCTCGTTCTCATTTACTCGCCGAGCTGTCTTGAATTTCAGAAGCTGCGAATTGAATCGTATTGTTCCACCTAACCATATCTTGTATCTGCCGAAGAAACGCAAAGGACACTCACCTGGATGCGAATCAGCTGACCAAACAACACGTTCACTATTCTGCTGCGTTTGAAAGCAGATGAATTTAAAGATATGAAAATTCAGTATCATTTTCTTGCCATCCACAAGTGCATGCCTCGTCGGATTTCGTTTCCTAGCCGATTATATTATCCTTCCTGGGCAGATCCCTGCATCCCTATTGGACATACTTTGTAGGCGTGTGCTGTTGGGAGAATTTTCCTTTGGGTGTGAAGTTTCTTTCCGCAGTGAATCTTTGCAGGTGTTACATATTGGAGGTGACCAGATTGAGAAAGGGCTTGAAAAATACACACCTTAAAGCATGAAATTTTCGGTGCGTGTTCGAGGGGAGTGGTTGCAGATTGCTGACAAGTCAGGTGAGTGCCCCTGGAAATCTTTTTGCGTTATTAGCAGTGAGTTATTAAAGTGTGATTTGCCGTGTATTGTTTTAATGGCAAGTGGAAAATAAAATCACGCACAAGGTTCGGAAATAGATATCACAAACCAAAATTACGCAGCAAAAATCAAGAGTTGGGACGGCATTGTTTCAAAAAAAATGAACCATCTGAGCGTGCTGCTTCTGTTGCAAGTTTTCTTCGAAAATGATAAATTCGTTCAATTGATTCGTCCAGAGCATCATTTCACTGTAGATTTTATCTTTGTATGTTGAGTTCATTTGCGGACGCCCACGTGAAATTGAAGGTGACATTCATTAGTATCTTCCAAATTATAAGATATGGATCTTAGATAATTTAATAAAAAAAGCATGGCAATCCTGAGAGCTTGGATCATCCTGCGGATGAGGACTAAAATACCATTACTCTGCATATGGAAACCTGAACTTATAAACCAGCTATTTGGTGCGATTGTCTTATTTTGAACAAGGGTCCACGATTCAATTTTAATTAATTTAATGACACCCGTTCGGTCTCGAAACGACGATGAAAATAAGCCTAGCTTGAATTTTGGGTTGCAGGTGGATGAGCCCATTACCCTCAAGGTTAAATTTGCTGAACAATGAACAGTGAACAATTATACTGTATATATATTTTCTGGTTCCATCTTTTGTACACTTTTAGTATGCAATATGCTGGTTATGGCATGAGCTAGAAACTTGATACCGATCTATAAGCAACTTCTTCAAGTACAGTATTTTAATAACTGGAAGTGAAAGAGGAGTGGGTGTCTTCGGCAATAACTTATTCTCTATATTCTTAGTCAATTCACAAACCTACTAGTAAATTAAAGCTAGAATTTATTTTTCAATGCCTCAGCTCGACGCTCTGAAATTTCTGAAATTATTTTCATAAGCTGCAAGGACATTCTGAATGTATTGTAATTAAATGCTCCGTTGTCCTCTCCCGTTAGTCGATTCATTGATAGACAGCTTCGAAGTGCGGGATTTCCCTTGGAAAATGCATAGCTGCAAACATTAGTAAGGCCCAGTTAAATTACGAGGTTGGGCTAACATTCTGTAGGAAGCTGAGAACTCGTAACGAAGGCCTAAAATATAGAGGCAAGGACTTCGTCGACATTCGTCCGCATGTTCCGCATTATTGAGCTTATACGCTCGACAAACCGAAAAGCGGAAACAGGGATAGGAATGCTATTGATTTCCCCTCAAGGAATTCAGCTGCACTCGACCGTGCTTTTACATCCCTATAGCATCGAATTCTGGGATTTTTCAAAGTAATGTACAGAAATCATTGGTCTACTCTAGTTCTGAGAGAGAATTTCAAAAGCTCCGTCTTCGGACACATTCCAAGATTCTCCTACAAATAAAATATTTGAGATGGGCGATTATTTTGGCAACACATTTAAAACTAGGAATAGGTCTTAGTGAAGGAGTCGCACTGACAAAAAACTTCAATCGCAGATTTCTCCAAAAAAATTTCTTCGGGAGAAATGATTCATTTTCTTTCTATGCTGTGTAACTCATGCGTCTTGATCGATTTTATGTCTAGTTATACCCATCAAGAGGAGAATACAGAAGGTTGATTTTGCTAAGAAGGGATGAAGAACACAATGATTGCTTCATATGCTAGTCATCAAGAACAATTTTCGTGGTCGAATTTTGAAATTTTTCTTTTTGATCGTTGACCCGTTCTGAATATCATTTCATTGGACTTAGCTTATTTTTCTAAAGGTTCAATGGAGAAAAATGTCATTACTATTCAGTGATTTCTCTAATGTAAAAACTATTTTTAAAGGTTGTATAAAGTAAATGCAACGTGAATTAACTGAAAGTTTTAAAGTTGTCGGTTATTTAACTCGGCATATATTGATGACATGTGACTTTCAGGTGACGCAGGCCAACAAAGGAATTGGTTCACACCTCATGTGACTATCTCAGCTTTCGACCTGTTTTCAAAGAAATCCGAATCAATTTTTCCTATTTTTACTAATCTAATTAAAATGTGCGTTTTAAAACTACAGGAAGGAAACGTTTTAGATTGTATTTTCAAATAGATTGAAATTCCTTTCGTCGGGCACCGAAACCGACAAAGGATTGCCATATATTTGAACTAAAATAAAAACCTATTCTATCGCTATGTGAAGAAAACCGAATTCAAAGGAGAATTTCAAAGCTCTAAAAGAGCTCATGCGTTGATGAATAATCTTTAGGTCCTTGGAGAGTCAAAAAATTGAGAATCTAAAATAATGTAATTAAGTTTCGTTGCTGGTCGAGTACGATCGATTTGGTGCAGGTTTACGACATTCCATTTCACAACATTATCACAGAAATGTTTCCTACAAAGCAGTGGGATAGGCAAATACATGGATGCTCTGCCATGAACCCTTTTTTATAATTAATGTTTAATTCCCATTTGCTCGGGGCTCAGAACAGATATGTAGAGAGGGGTTGAAGCAAGCGACCGAAAAAAAAACGCGCCCTTAGGTGGTCTTGCGGAATGTTGAACGACCACACTGCTCGCATGGGTTTAATGAAATATGGCACTCAACATCTCATCCTGATGGTTCTGGCCCTAATATAAGCAAAGAACCTTTCACGTAGCCTTCTAAGACTTTATATAGGCCCCGAGGTTTCTTCAAAGATTAATCGGTAGCATAAGTACACTTTAAATTTGATTCTAGTGAAAAAAAACAGCAGTTCGAGAGCATTTTCTGAACCAGGACATGCGTTGCACGATTCATTGGCTCTTGGAGCTAGGGTATGAATATGCACAGATCTCAATTATTCTGAAAAATATTATCAATAAACTTCGTTCATCCACGAGCGCCAACAATATGGAATCAGATGAATAAGACACATTCATGATTAACAAAGATATCTTTTTTTTTTTTATTCGCCCTACCCAATTTTTATATGTTTCGGCAAGATAAAATGCGAGTTATATTGCCGAAACCCGATTTGATGATCATAGGTGGCGTTATGGTTCGTAGATCAGAATTAACCGAAAATTTGTTTTCCGAAAAAAAATTCGCTGATTCTCATAAGCGGGAGAGGGCGTGAAAAAGAAAATTCAAAACAATCTGGACAAATTCATACCATTTTTCAAAGTAAAATATCAAAATTGTCACTTCCAAATATTCAGGCATGACTTCAAAATTGCCTGAAAATCTCCCCAAGTGGGCGAGCTATTACAAATTTGTATTGCCTGATTTTTTTGCGCTATACGAGTATTAAGCTCGTGATCATTTCATATGATGGTTGATATTTCTCCTGGCAAAATAATAATAGAATATAGAGAAGACTTAAGTAGAATACGCATATATGTTTCCGAGCATTCTTCGAATCCAACTCACCCAGCTGTTTTACATTTCCGCACGTTGTATTGCCGCTTATCTTCATGAGGATAATCTGATCCTCGTGTCAGTCACGGAGTGCGGAGAAAAGCTTATGAAAACTGTCATATTTGAATCCCAACTTCTCTAGGATCCCACACGCTCTCATCCTATTAGCTTACATTTTTGTTTACTTGCCAACACTTCATAAGAAATTGCGTAAATGAATGAGAAGTACCGTATTACTAGTAAGTTACTGAATTCACCCGTAATTTTAAAATGAGAAAGCAACGCAATGTTGAGTAAATAATAAGGGAAGTGAAGTAATGCACGCTTCTGTTAATTGCGTAAATGAATGAGAAGTACCGTATTACTCGTAAGTTACTGAATTCACCCGTAATTTTAAAATGAGAAAGCAACGCAATGTTGAGTAAATAATAAGGGAAGTGAAGTAATGCACGCTTCTGTAATGGATAACCGTCTTTTGGCCTGTATAATAGTCTGCATGCATTAAAAAAAAAAAAAGCATTACACTGCCTATCAGGAATAAGTGCGCTAAGATAGAACCGTAAGAAGAACAAAAATGTAATTTTCTCTTGCTCTCTATAAAGATCCAATTTTTAAACCACTTGTGGTACATCCACAAATTACCGCTTTTTAAGAATGCTACAGAAAACTTTCGTGGTTATAATGTACAGTTGTACACGAATAAAACATTTTTTCCCATTGATGGTTCGATTGCTAATTTACTTACGATTTTTATCACATCATACGATGACAAAGGTCACTTCAGTCACTGCACAAGGATCATCTCCATTCTACAAGGATGGTTCCCAAGTGGTTTATCCCAAGAATGCAACAGATCTGCCATACTTTTTTTATTTTGAGTCTAATGCGTATCGGTTCCCCGAGTTATTTCGAAATAGACGTGAAGACATACAGAATAAACTTATAGTCAGTTCCATCTGCTGAAGGTACTTGACACCTGCTCAAGAAAAAAAAAAAACTGATGATGTGAAGCTTTCAAGTGCCGTATCTCATGCTAAAGCTATTTTGATTGGTGATGTTTACGCCTTGCTTGCTCAGGTCGTCATGGGAAGTGAGTAGCTCACAGCATGATGTTGGGCGCCGTTCCGCTACATCTTCCTTGCAACGAGCTGTCAGTGTGATTCACGCGCTGCAAAACTTGAGAGAACACGGATATTTTTCTAAGGTCCATGCACAAAAATCATGAAAGTGAATTTACTTCAAGATAGCACTGCATATGGTTTAGTGTGACACCAGAAAAATCCTGACATCATCATCCGAAAATAAATGAACTAGCATTCAGTGCATAGGAAAATGATAACGTAAACTATTCTGCATTCTGAAGGTATGAAAGAAGTGGTGTGATCACATCAGAAATAATCTAAACGGTAATGTACAGTCAAGAATAGCTTTTCCGAAGGTTCACTTCTCAGTTATTTCAAGCAACAATAATGCTTGTCCTGATCATTCCAATATTACTTTCTCTTTATTTTTACAAGCCAGTCGTGAGTGTTGAGTCCTCTGGAGACAAACAATGCTCTCCTTTGCCTCTCAAGCTCAGAACACTTTCGGTTGTCTAGATGAGGCCTTTTCAATTCCTTGATTTCATACCTCTTTCAAACGATGTCAGTGTTCCGGAAAAATTCAGTCATTTCTAGTGTTATTGCCGGAATTTAAGCGCAAATGCAAGATTTATTAGTTTTTTCAACGTTTACACATTACGAGTGTATCGCGGGTATACATTTTACATTCCAAACTCCCACGTATTACCTGGGTTTTTAGTATAATTTTCAACCCAATTAAAGATACTTCATCACCTTCATCCGTATACTAATTTTGTTTATATCCGCGAATGCATCCTCACTTCATCACCATTTTTGTAAAATACTCGTACTTATATAATCTCTGGAAAGCCGTTTTTTATGTGCGAAGAGGATCTCGTGTACCGTGGGTTGTTTTCGGTCCAACAAAGTAGACTATGGGCCTAAAGTATGAAGGAAACTGAGGCAGAGTGGGAGGAAACTGTGCTCATAGAAAAAGTATACGAGTCTTATAAGTGTTACAGCATCCGAATATCCTAATTTATACATAACGCGTGGATCATTTTAGGATTGAAGATTCAAATAACTGAGCTCATTTTCTTGATCGTATCGCTCTGCTTAGGAACGGCTACTGTGCGATGGCTAGGCGAAGAAGCGTTGCGGAAATACGAGAAGCTGGAGCCGGCCACGTACCCGAAAGACCCCTCGGAAAACGGACCAAAAGCAAACAAGTATTCTCGGGCGATTTCCGAGATTCGCAAGACGAAGGGCGGTGCCATCTTGGATCCGGAAGACACACTGGCTGACGTCCTGGATGATAACGACTTCGTCTCCGTGGGTGAGTATCGACCGATGTTGAGGTTCGTTACGACTCTTGAAGTCTTGATTGCGTGTCTTATTCCCACTCCACGGAATCAAGTGCTGGAGAGTGATAAGCCGAACCCGCAGACCGACGTGGCGGAGATCAAATATATACCGGAACAAGTGTATCCTTTTCATTGTATTTTTGTCTCAATTACGAAAAAACAGATTGAAACTCACGGTCCGTATCCCTGGAAATCAGCAAATGACGTCAAATAAGCTTTCTTGCTTAATCGCCTCTTGCTGATCAGTCATTGACCTTAAATGACGTATAGAGTGGATCTTGCAGGCAATTTGATTGTACTCAAGAGAATGATTAAGAACAATTCCTTCTTCCATTCTTTGGGGCCAAAATACACTTTCTTGACCTGGATTGATCTCGATCATCAATGATCGTTACTTTCTCGATTTTGTTTCCTGTACAATCTGAAATACTCCTTGATTTACTCTCAATTTATTCATAGTCATCTGAAGAATGTTGTTCGGGGACTTGAAGAATGATTTCTGATGTTGATTTAATTTCTCGTGTAGTTCTCTCACAAGTTTTTCTTCTTCCAACAAGATAAATTCAAAAATAATGAAGTAACTCAAGGGTAGCCCTATTTATCTTGAAATATGTGTATCTGACTTCCTTTCGGTAATATAATTTGAATGACATTTTTATGATCAGCTTTTGGTGATTATATCTGCAGCAGAATTAAGGAGTACTAAATGTTTCATTATTCTACATGTGCAACGTAACCTTTAAAACTTTGAAGGGGTGAAAATTGAATCCTCATTTCAAAATCTAAATTATTTAGGACTTTTTATATCCTGCCTACACATAAAGAGAGACACGTCAATGGGAAATAACTAATCCATATTTCGTTTTTGTTTTCTCCCTGAAGTTACTGAAGCCTTTTGCAGAAATACTTGAAGCTAGAAGTTTGTATTTTGATTTTAAATAGTAGTGTCATTTTGCACGTTAAAAGTTCTTGATAAAGTCAGGCGAAACTGGATGTCTGTATATACACTCATCTTAGCGAGGGCCCTTATTCTCAAAGCATTCCTTTCAAGAACGATTCGTGAATGTTCCCTCGTACATCTGTGATCTGTGGAAGTTTGATTTGTAACAAGCTGCGCATAGATAAACCCATTTATCGAGAATTAGCATTGGAACGTAAGTTGAGGGCGCGGATATGAAGGGTTCATTCCCGCTTCGACGCTTACCTGTATATCCACATATAGAGTGGGAGCCTTTCAAATGATCGGCCTCTTTCCTTGACTTGATCCTCCAAATACGCCTGGATCATCAGCCCCAGCAACTTCGTAGGGCCTACAGAGGTAAGCATGATTGAACGACTAGTGCAGTGGTTCTCTCACGCGCGTAATTACTATTCCAGTTCATCACGTTGGACGGGAATTCCCTGACTCCTGATGACCTCGTGATGCTGGGAAAGTACGCCTATAAGATAAGGGTAAGCTAACTGCTTTCTCATTTTATTCGAGGTCGAGCAGTTGCCGAGCATTTCCACGTGGCTTTCATCGGTGGAAAACTATAATATACTGTACCTCGCCATTGTTAATGGTATCATGCTGTGGAAGATCATATCTTTAAATAATGCTGCTCATGAATAAATCTTCCTGATGGGCAATACATAAACGAAGTTGAGAAATCAGACGAATTTATCAGCAAATGATAATGAAATACGGATTTTCTTATCATTTCAAACGTACAAATAGGATCTTTAAACAATTCTGCTCAGCATTGATAAATATTTCTGATAGGAAATATGCGTAAACAATTTTGAGAAATCAGAAAATTTTATCGGCAAATAGTGCTGAAATAAGGATTATATTATTATTTTAGACGTTTAACTAGGATTTACTGATGCTATAAGTCGTTCACGTACAAACAGAAAATACCGGGAAAAATCTTCAGTCATTGGGATTTTTTTTAAAGAGTTTAAAAAGCTGGATTTCGACGAATGAAAATCCTAGTCGAGAGCTTTCAAATGCTACATCGTTTTGCTATTATCTCTTGTCAAATAATGGTAGCTAAGGCCATTTGATTAACGTATCTGTACTCCTAGAATATGTATTGAAATTTACGCACAAATGTCACACTGCAATATCTCAGAAGCTGAAAAAGTCGAACTTGAGTTTAAATTTTTCTAAAACTTATAATTGGTACATGCACATGTTCCATTTTTGTGTTCCACATTACGGCAATGTTTTTGTAGAATTTCAGAAATGTACGAAAGGGATTTCAGTTATATTGCGTCCTCATTGTGCACATTTCTCTCAAATGAGACCAACGGAGAAAGAAACAGTGTCCCAGGTAAAGTTCGGGTTCATCATCAATTTTCTAACTAGAGTAATTTTCGATGAGGGAATTGTCTTAGTCCTTTGCAAAACAAGTTTTCTTCTATTGCCTTTTCGGGCTTTGACGATTCGAACATAGCATACCGTCTCAAACTTACGCCCATCCTCTGGTTTGGTTATTGCTTCATTCATGTCAAGAAAAAGAATCTTCATTTCCCTCTTATTTTCCCATTTGAAGATTTCTTCTGAGGCAGAAGCAAAAGTGCGGGAGGCGAGAACCTTAGTCGACACCATCCTGGAGAAAAATTCAGGTGAGCGCTCGTGGTAATGGAGGTGAAGTGGTTTTTATGAAGAGCGACGGGCACTTATTGAAAAAAGCCGCTGCAGCTCCGCACAGATCATTTGTCAAATTTGATGAGGAATACTTTTTATTTATGCTGAAAACATCCGAGTACAGAGAGGGAATTGATTGAAAATTCAATGTCCGTTGACTCCTTTCTGTGCATATCTGGCAGTTCACTCACAGCGTAGTCTTCTGAGTGAAAATGCCTCACGAATGACGGGGTGAAAATTTCAGTTTTTCTGGACATTCAAGCTCGCTAGTTGTAATAATTCTTAAGACCAGTATCCACAGTCGAAAGAATTCATCTTTAATTTGCCCTCTGTGTTACATTTCTCGTCTTTGCTGCTATTTCTTCGACTCCCGACAAACTGTACTCATTCTTTTGTGTCATGATATGCAGAAAAATAGATGTCCTGATGATGAACTCCAAACTAACGGTTTCTCCAAGTTATATAATGGGCACTAAAGAAGCTTTTCCCAAACTTTTTTTTTTTTTTAGTTGTGTACGGCATCACAACGGGATTCGGGAATTTCGCACGCACCGTCATTGGAAGAGATGACCTCAAGTGAGTGATGTTTCATTGCTATTTCTTGCCGAACAGAATTTTATAGACATTCGGATCATATTTAAGGTCGCAAGAGGTAAACTACAGTATTCTGGATGGGAATCCAAGAGTTTTTTGTTTACCTATCGTTGGTTTGGCATGCGCCTTGCCATGTTAAATTTATATGTTCAACTTTTAAATACATATACGAAGGTCTCCGTGCGGCTGTGAGATCAACGATTTTTGTGTGCATTATCAACAAGGAAAACAAAACTTTTCGTCAATTAATGTTAATCTACTAGAATATAATATACAGCTGATAGCAGAACTCGCATGCCAAAGAATGACGTCGAAAAAATTGAAATATTATTTGGGTGGATCTATACAAGACTCAATTCGCGATGCCAGCTTTCCGTAGAAGTGCTGAGGATTAAATATCCTATCGTGAGAAGTTTGTTTGAACATGAACTATGTTTGAGGGGGAACATTTAGCCAAATTTTGATGTCGGAACTGAAAATAAAATCCAATTGTCTCACTCTATAGATACAGTATATATGACTCTTCCGTCAACTTCATGAGAGAAGTGGAAGAAACTTCATAAATGAACTCAGTCTCAAGCGGTTATTTCTTTTGAAATTGAGATGTTCTATAATCTCGTCATTTGAAAGCAACTTTTATAAAAATAAAAATCTGCTACATGTACGCATGTTTGTGGTCACTAAAAATTAACAATTTCATTATAAACGTCTGAATGTCGCTTTTTTTTTAATGCTTCAACCCGGCTATAAGACACTTCCCAGATAGCTGTTATCTTCTTGATCTTAAAAATAAATGGTTTCAAATAATGAATTTTGATGAGGCTAGTGAATGGAGGAAGTTACTTCAATGATTATCCAACAAGTACTTATTAACTGTTGAGGAATTAATCAACCCAACATAAAGAATTGAACCATAGCACAGTGGAAGAAGAGGTGGGAAATAAAAAGGCAGGGCAATCAGCTGGTTTGCGGCCAGGAATATGTAATTAAGGGGGTACCTTAATTACATATCCCTAGTTTTATCTGGTTTAATCACAGTCCACAATAAATCACAATCAAACACAATACAAAAATAATGCATCACAATAAATGCAATAATGCAACGTAACACACATTGAATAAAAACAATAAATTTGTGCACACAAATTTAGGGTGCCATAATGCAAAGCAACAATTCAATCAGAAGAATTAGGGTTGGAATGTTTTGAGGGAAGTTTACTGTTGAAGCTAATTTTAAGGACTGATTTTTGGGAGTGGAAGAGTGCTGGGTTTTTATGCAATTTAGCACAATGCTTCAGTCAGCTGACCTGACTGAAGCATTGGACGCTTTTTCTTGCCTGTGATTGGCTTGAGAATTTTGAATGGAAGAAGTCACACATGGGTGGAGCGGATGCACTGTGCAAAGGAAAACAGGACCAGAATTCAGGTCCTGGGACCTGATGTCCCTGGACCGGAGTTCTGGTTCCCCAACATTAACTACCACTCATTCGCAAAGGTCTGCCGTCATCTGTGTGACGTTTATTGGTCTCAAAACTGTTGCATTTTATTCACTGCCCTTTTATTTCAGGATTTACATTAGTTGAAAAGGTTCTAGGCTGGAAACTTCGAAGAAAGCAATGCAGTATCCATCCGTACAAGTAGAAATAGGTTGCAGTATTTTGGATATGCATGTCATAAAATGCACGGGTGCTGTGGCAATATTTTTTCAATACAGTGATTGTCAAAGAAAACGTCTGGCCTCGAAAGGATTTTTTAGATTGTTATTTCCGGATTTTATTTCGATTCCGACCCGAAAAGATGGAGGTAGAATGTTGCAATACTTTTACTATGAGGATTTTTCGCGGTTTTCTCAGTCTACTTTTGAGAGGCTCCTCCTGGTAAATTCCTTATACAGTACCTGATAATCGAAAAGTATTTCATATTTAGCTTATAAGACCGAAGTGGTGCGTAATCTCGCCGTGAACTTAAAAAGGTCGTTGTTCCAGATTGCATGGCCATAAACATTCTAGTTTGGTAAAGCGGAATGAACTGCGTATTTTCACTTCGAATTTTACGACCGACGGGAGTCGAAAGCAACCGATCCACCGGAAGATTGGCATTCGTGTTATAAAAATTTACTCTACTAAGCAAGTATCTAACGATTTTCAGCTTGAGTCGGAAGGAAATACTTTCCAGCTGATGCGGACCGGATATAAAATATTGGAGAGACGCGCGCCTAAGAACATTTTCCCGCTTCAATTATTTTCCTTTTTGCGTTCTAATGGCGTCGCGGTTGAGTCTCGGAAAATTTGAAAGTTTCGATTGCACGTAATTTCATCGGGTTGATAGAGAAGAACAATCATTTCTTCTGTTTCATTCTCACGAAAAGCTCGAATGACTATTTTAAAGAAAGGAGTGCAATCTATCTTCATAAATTCTCGAGCTAAATTAATAGCCAACGGATCTCACGATTGTTGGTAAATTGTGATATGACGGTCGCTTACATCCGGGAAGAATTGTGCGCGGTTGCTAGCTGAAACTGGCGGAATCCTTGAACGCGATAGAAAACTTGTAAGCTCCCAAAAATAACTGCTGAAATGCACTTTTGGCGATCTCTTTCATACCATATTCCTTCCAATTTATTTTTCTACGGAGAGTATAGGCACGTTGACGAGGTTTATATGATTCCTACTGGAAAATAGTCCTCCCACGTTTCAATCTCTGACTGGTGACCTATATTCAATTGAAGAATAATACCAAAATCTGACAGAGAACCTTTACTGATACCTTCAGGTATCTGCGAAATTACCCAGTGTCCACTTTTATTCCAAAATACTGTACATGCATAACCGAAGCTCTAGAAATGAGTCCATCAGGCATTCAGAAAAGAACCATTCAATTTTCACCGGAAACTGTAACGTGACGGAGTGGATTCAAAAACCTTTTCCGTCTTTCTATACAACCAACAGTCGTGGGATAAAATCCATGGGCATATAAAGCAATCTTTGATGAGTTCAACATCAAGGAACTTAATAGTATCTTAACCCAACACTGCCTGGTTCATGTTTGCATCTAAGGAAGGCTTAGTTCGCATCTATAAGTATGTTACGCATACATACCTAATAACATGCATACCTTTTCTCCTAATAACACTTCAGACAAATTTTCATCAGCTGACATGAATTTCAATTTTTCATTCTATGAAACCTTTCTTCAAGCCCACGTATCTAATTTTTTGAAGGCATTCCTTTATAGCTACTGCATTGGTTTCCAACTTGATTCTTGAAACCAAAAAGGGAAAATTTTTAAATACCTGCCATAAAATATTTCAAACCAAATTTGTTGAGTCTGCAAAATTTGATGAAACTTTGTGCCAGTCTGCAGAAAATTCATTAGTAATTTGCTGGTTTGTGGGCCCAAAAAGGTTGAGGGATACTGCATGGTTTAGACGAGCAGTGTTTCTCAGCCTGTGGTTAATGTACCAGCGCCAATCCGCAGAAGTTTTTTGCCAGTCTGAAGGAAATTTTCTGCTTAATCCTATATTTACAAAAGTAGCAATGAAGTCAATTTTTCTGAAATGTCAGACTACGGCAGTGGAAATTACCTGAAGAAAAAATAAAAGGTTGAGTTTCCTCCATTCCATTTTCCCCTGCTGAAATAAATTATTTATATTTTTTCATTCTGAGAACCCCTTTTTCAAGCCCACCTATCTAATTTTTCTCGAGACATTCCAGTATATTGCTGTTTTGCGTTGGTTCATAAATTTTGCAAAAATGCATAAACTTTTCCAATGCCTGCCATAAAGTCTTGCAAGTGTCAAGAAAAACTTTTGTTTGCAAACATTTTATGAAACTTTGCCAGTCTGCAGAAAGTATTTTGGAAATTTGCTGGTCTACAAAAACTTTTATGAAAATTGGCCAGTCCATGGGACAAAAAAGGTTTTGGAACACTGGTTTAGAGCAGCGTTCCCCAACTTTTGGTCTGCAGACCAGCACTGGTCTTCAAGCCTTTTGCCTTTTTCAAGTTTTGCCGGTTCATGGGAAATTTTCAGCATAATCAGCCAATCAAAACTCGGGATGAAGTCTGTAATATTTACCTTAAGTTCAGGAAGAACAATGGCAATTATTTTCATCTGATGAAAATAAAAATTGGCTTTTCTTCTAATAACACTTCAGATGCATTTTCCCCTACAGAAATAATGTTTTTTTTTCATTCTGAGGAACTTTTCTTCAATCCCACCTTTTTTTAATTTTTACGATATTTAGCCATAGCTGCTCCATTGGTGCTTAACTGAATTTTTGAAGAAAAAAACCAAAATTTTTTAACTATCTGCCATAAAATCTTTCAAGCAAAACTTTTTTAGGTCTGCAAACATTTTATGAAAATTTGTCAGTCTGCAGAAATTTGTTTAGGAATTTATTGGTTCACAAAAAGTATCATGGAAATTTTCGTGTTCTGCAAAAAAAAATGTATGGGAATTTGCCGGTCCGCGGGTCCAAAAAGGTTGGGTTACACTGGCTTAGAGCATCTAAAAATAGTTTTTGTAAATGTGTGGAAAAGTAAATTTTCATTACTTGAAATCTGTATGCTTTCATTTGAACCACTGAACGTGGACAGGAGGGTTACGTCCCAGGTCTAACTCTTGACATAACGCCCAACCGGTTAGGAAAAATAAATCCATCCCTCAAGTTTCGTCCGCATGCGTTACGTCTCCGAGAACATCTATTCAAATTTTTTTGCCGGGAATCGAAGGATCCCGGCTGAGATGAAGAATGAAACTATCTGAACCATTCGAAATCGTTATCACAGGCAGCTGCAGAAGAATCTCATAAGAAGCCATGCAGCTGGTGTCGGGCCTCCATTGTCACCGCACAAGACGCGCATGTTGCTCGCCCTCCGCATCAACGTCCTCGCCAAGGGTCATTCCGGCATATCCTTCGAGACGCTGCAGCGACTCGTAGCAGCATTCAATGGTACAGTATACGGAATTAACTGGTATCCCCTTCATCGCCTGTTGTATCATCTCCACCAAGTACGTCTCGAGAGCGAGTTGGCCATTAACACCGCGGAGACAGGCACGAATTCGCCGAGGAACTCCAACGCAAATTATCGCGTCACTCCACCGAAATGAAACCGGAACTTGTCACATAGTTTTCGATGAAGCGCTCTCATTTCTCGGAATGATCCGTGAATAATCTTATGGCATAAAGTCGTCACGCAGTATTTCCTGTCATGAAAGTTCGGAGAGGTCGTCACTCGTCAGTCATTAGTCCCGAGGAAACGACGACATACAATCGATGCTTCTGATTTTCTGCTCAACGAAATTTTAAATTCGCAAACGCGTCTATAAAAATATCATCAACTTCAAGGTACTGTATCAGGTGAACGCTTTAAGCTGATTGAATACTCTAAAAAGATAATACGGTTATTGCATACAATAATGCGACGATTACACACTATCCCTACTAGAATGACGACTTTTCCAACATCTTTCTTTCCGAAATCGTGAAATTCATTTGTGAAGATCAACCCTTCCTTCAGTCATCTTCGAGAAATGCTCAGTTCTTTGAGCAATCCTTTACGCAACGAAAACTGCTGCTGCTAAAATACCATTCTGAAGGAGAATGCTGATGGATATCACTAGCTCACTAATGGTGATTACAGTACGGTACTTCAACTACTTGTGTCTGAATCACTCGTAAATGTACGTATGAATCCTACTGTTCAAATTACCTTCGTCGGATGTCAGTGCGTTTTCCATCAAAGAGCTGCTCTGTTGCGAGCTGATGAGGTTCGTTCCAACCAATTACGCGGAACACTTATGGAAAATGATCGAAGATATTTCAGTATTCAGGGTCAACTTTTGCAGAAACCATCCATGCGGCGAAAGAATCATTTTTAATATTATACTTAGAACAAACTGTACTGTATAAACGTGCAGGAAAAAAATGGCGAAATATACCTTGATGTTCCAGAATTTTTTTCGTTTTTTTTTTCAGCGAGCTGTCTGTCGTGGGTTCCGGAACAGGGTAGTGTGGGAGCAAGCGGCGACCTTGCTCCCTTGGCGCATCTGGCGCTTGGACTCTTGGGAGAAGGGAAAATGTGGAGTCCGGAAACTGGATGGGGAGAAGCACAATACGTAAGTTCAGCGACCTAAATCCACTTATAAGAATCACGAGCATGAACAGTGTTTGATATAACTACCACATTCTGTATATAAATATTCAACCTAAATTCGACAGAAGCTCGGGATGAGCTTCTACTAAAAGTATTGTCCTTTATATATTCAGAGTCAGTGTGTGCGGTATAAAAATATTTTGCTTACCAGTCCGCAAACGTTTAAATCGGTAAAATTGCTGATGAATTGTGAAGAAATGGTTTGCCTTGGCAAAAGTATGGGTTCATTAGTCACGGCGCATTGATTCATGTATTTTTTACAACTTCCTAGAATATCTATTGGTGGCTTGTCTTAAAAAGGAATCAGACGAGTCTGGGCTCGAATGTTCTACATAGTGAACGTTATGGTATTACGCTCCTTAGAATTCGGGTAAAGAGTTTTGGTGGAAACAATTTGCTTATGAATCAACTGATGCCTTTCAATGGAAGCACTCAAGTATCATTTTAGAAATTAAGGTACAGCATTGAAATGCTTTGTTATCGTTACAGAGTCGGTACATGACAGTAGGAAATAATGCGGTTTCAACTTTCATTTAACTCGTGCTGATTTCTGATGCCATACCCAAAAATGTACTGGGAATTCGCTGACTTCATTTGGATTTTTCAGCGAATTTATCCCTTCTCGTTTTAGCAGTAAGTCACTCGCACAAAATCGCAATTGAACAGCTTCCTTTCCACCGAATTGTTTCACGGAATGCCTGTTTATATCATTGGATCGAAAATAATGTTAACAAAATGTACACGGGGACTTCCAATTTAACAAGAACACTACAGTACAGCACTTGATTCGACGACGATCCGATCGTGAGGAATTAAATCATGGCGGAAAAATTCTTCAGTTCCATTCTCTGCGGAAATAACACAATTGTTGGCATCCTCTGGAATTCGTTTCTGACATTTGCACTACTTTTCTGAAGTTTATCCATGCTTTGAAATGGATTGTAAAGCGAGGTACAGTAGTTCAAATCTCACCAAGTGCATCAAGCCCGAAACTCCGATCCTCCCTCAGGGCCAGAACATTCAAGTTCCTTGTTAACGTGGGTGAAATGAAACTAGTCCCCAGAGAGCACCCGGGGCCACATCTTCTGGAACCCCGAGGAAACCATTGTTTGAAAACCTATTTCCAGAATTGAGGAGTTGCTTCAAGTCTTTGAGGTACTGGGAATATTTTTTCAGGCAAGTAAATGTGTGGGTAGAAGATTTTTTTCTTCCATTACACGGGAATTTTATATTCAAGGTCAGCATATACACTTGTGAATGTTGTTGAGGAAACCCGTGGCGATTTTTTGCTCTTCTGAGGGTTACACTTGCAAAAAGGCTCGTCGGAACTAGAATAAGTACTGTACTCTGCTTGTAATTGAAGAAATGTAGTGAATTAATATTGCATCCGGCATTATTCACGTCTCACGAGGAAGGCTTCAAGCAGGTGGGTTTGTAAGGGTTTTCTTTTGGAGGGAAAGCATGTTTTAGCGATATTGTATCCTATTTTCCGCTGCATGACTTGTGACTTCGGATGAGTGTCCACGGTAAGTCAATGGCAGAGATTTCTGTGGGTGACAGGTGCCACTTGCGAGCTCCACAGCTCGTGGACAAGTGTTCACTTTCCAAGGTGTCGCACAAACTTTGTCCAGCAAGAGCGCATGAAGTTTTTTTTATGAATTATGAGAGTACACAGTAGAAAGCATAGCTTTTAGTCGAGAGATTGATTCAATAATGATCGACTGTCGATCACCTATACGCGTTCTTACGATTTCCTTGAGTGCTTGTCACGTTCCACCCAAAATTAAATTGAGAGCACGAAGGATCCTTCAGCTATCAATAACCAATCATAATTTTCCAAATTTTATTCGTCAAGTTGACTATCTTTTTACAGTGCTGCAACGTTTTTCGTCGTGCTTATTCCGTATTAGGGTCTATTTTGAGTGGATTACCTGGATATCATCAACAGATACTTCATCCTTGAGAGATATTGTTCATCCGTAGACTGGGTGCAAAATATTTGCGAGGAAAGACAAATACATTATTCGTGTTCATTCATTACAAACTGGGCCGCGACATTTTTTGGTGGTCCCAAAAAAGAGAAGCTTTACATGGAAAATAAATTCGTCTGACCATGGACGGAGACGCATGGCTAATATGAACTCTTTTTTGATGAGCTATCATGACTTTATGAGACATTTTGAAAGGCAAACGTCATTAAAACTGGATCAAAATTTAGAGCTTCCGCCTGACTAAAATATTATACAATATCTTAACATAAGCACAAATCTGTATCATTCAGCATCTAGCAACTACCTGAGAAAGATGAAGAGTTCAAAAGCGCAGTAAATTACCAAATATCCTTGATTACTGTTGAAGAATAACTTACTTTAACATACATATAAAGAAGTTCACTGGTGGATCACAAATTCAAGAATTAAGTAAAGTTCGAATTTTTCATAGATAAAAGACAGAATCAGCGTGGGACTAGGCCGGGAATCCTTTTATAGGATTTCCTATTTAAAATTGTTTCTAAATGTATTTCGAAATTGTCCCAGCAAAGGTTTTAACACACAAAGACAAATTTTTGTACCAACAACAACTCAACAGATCTCTTCCTTAAATTTGGAATAATTTCGCAGCACATTTGATCATGCCAAAAGTTGGATCACGAATGTGGTTTTGTTCTTTGGCGAACGACGATGCGCGGAAATTGGTTTCTGTTTCCATTGTGTTTTAGTTGGTGGCGTTTTCCTTGAAAAGTGGTTCTTCTTCCCTTTTAGGGCTTGGGGTTTGTTATCAGATGCTAGTTTTTTATAATTTAATTTTACCATTATTCGGCGCGTGCGTGTTGTTTCCCAACAATTACAGGCGTAAATTTCCCCTGAAAATGTGAAACAGTATGACTTGAGCTCTCCTGTCGATAATTAAAATGTCCGAACATCTGCCAAATCTCTTTCTCAAATGAGAGGCGTATGCTGTAATTCGAACTGCAAACCATTGACCAGAAAAAGGCTGAAATTCTCTTGAGATTTTCGCCGTTCAGCTGCTGAATACGGGCCAGTTCCCTGCAATAATTCAAAGTTTTGTGTGTGCTGCTGATTTTTATGTCCACGAACCAATGCGAAAAATCAGGGCGGCCTACGCAGTAAGGTTCGACCCATAATAAATGCGGTTCTGTTCAATCCATCGAGCTTTTCCAGATTAGTTTCCATCCGCATGGCCAAATACGTAACGTTGTTAAATAAATGTAAATTAGCGCTGCATAGGGGGCTTGGCACGTCTGAAAGAAATTTGTTGAAAGATTAAGAAATACTGTGAAGATTAAGACCCAAAATTGTGGACCCCGAACGTCACGATGAGCAGAAAAACTTCCACGCTCAATCCGAAGAAGAGTAACTCGCGTATAATGTGCTTTGATTGAAAACGTTCCTGAACACGGATTTGCTCTCCGGTCACAGTGGACCCTAGCATGGTATCAAAAGCCCGCCTAACTACGGACAAGAGAAACCAAAAACTTCCAAGAGCTCAGCGTATTGGATGGAGGTGACCTGAACTTCCGGTTTCTTCCAGAAACGAACATAAACGGCACACAATTGATAACGGCACTGGGCGCCGAAGCCGTCGAGAGAGCAGAATGGGTGTCGCGCCAGGCAGACGTAATCGCAGCTTTCACTTTGGACGTCCTCAAGGGAAGTTCCAGAGCTTTCGACTCAGGTGAGAATTCTCAAGTCCAGTTTTTTTTTTTTTTGCAGAACATATAAAAAATCTTTTGGACGAAATACTGTACTCATCGCCAAGAAAAGCGATACGCAAGGCTAATTAAAATGCTGTGGCAAGGAAAGCACATGTAAATCGCTACTTGAATAACAATTTAACCGCGTATGACCTATCTTAGTACTTCAAAATTATCAAGAATTTACCCCGACTGTTGTTTTATGACATTGTGCTTTAGTTGTAAAACCGAAAAGTTAAAACTGTGTAGCAATACAGTAAAAACCTTAGCGCTCTTCATCAACCATATCACACACACCCTTGATAATGGTGATGCAGGAAAAAAAGAAGGAATATAAACTACAACCAGTTCAAACATTTTACTTGAAAACATTTTCGAAGATAATGAAGGTCTGTTATACCTGGATATTCGATTTAAAAAAATGAGAGACCAATCACCCCGTGCTTCAAAAAAATCTTGAATTTGATCAACAGCAGTAAAAATTTCGATCTATGAAAAGAAAACAATTTGCTTGTACAATTTTGACTTTTGCCATTCTGTTCAGAATCTGATTTTCTCCTAAGCAGTTTACGATCTGCGGCAATGATGAAAATGGACAGGACCTGAGCCATGATGTTGAATACTGTACATTTTCCAATAGTTATGTGGCCTTTTATGCTTTTGTGACACAGTATATCGAATTATTCTTTACGTACGGTAATCGTGGCAAAGATGCCGAGGAGTATTTCGGACAACAGTCGGAAAGCTTTTGTACTTCACGTACGCCCTTCAACATCATAATCTTGGTCGCAGGAAAAAGGATCTGCTCGATCAATCCACCAGTTTTTACGTAATCTTTGCCCCACCGCTTTAAGCATATAACTATACCTTTTTAGAACATGACTGTGCTTCACATTTTACGTAACCGAACTTTTCACATTTAAATTTCATGGTACCCTTTTGGTCAACGATGTGAAATTCAATTTTAAATTCGACTTTCACAGGAATAAATATTCATCGTGAGCGAACGCTCCGGCGCGTTTGTGAATTTGAATCCTGAGAGAAATTTGAATTTTCGTGGCAGATCGTCCAAAACGTGCCTATACTAAATCATGTTCGTGGTATCACAAATTTCAATTTCAAAATTATGTAATATTTCCTGTTTATTCCAGTTTTCGAAAGTTCATTAATTATTAAAACGAGTTTTGATTAAGTTCCTTCGATCGACTGCATGAAGGACTTTGATCTAAATTTGGCCTTTTATAGAGATACAGGATAAGCTTAGTGAACTTCTTCAACAAACCAAGCATAATTTCCTCTTCAGGGCGAGCAAACGGGTACCTGAATTAGGTAGAGAATACAGCATCATATTTTAGCCTTGTCTTTCAGCTTTTCGGTTAAGCATGATTCCTTCCGAGTACTGTATTAGCGAACTGATTTCACCGTGTGATTCCACATGTCAGGAATCACGAGTATATATTGTATTTTCCAATGCTTCCACTACAGATCGAAATACGATCCCAGTTTGTTTTTTCCACATATGCGAATGAAGTGATTAATGTATTTTGGAATACAAAACAGCATTTCTATTTTTTTCGAACCTCAGAAGAATTAATTTCTTTGCCGAAAGAGGGAATGATCCTTGTGTTCACGGATTTATTTAAGCCTCATCTCGATTTCGTGATACATTATTTTAAAGATGAAGCTTCATCAGCCGCAGAAATAAGACGTTTTTGCGGACGATAGTCAAACCTTTTACCGTTCCGAAGAGAATTCCGTTGCTCATGCGACTGCCATCTCAAGTTTATGCCGCGAAAACCAATGTAAAACTAAATTCAAATGCATGAAGTATAACTAACCAAAGCGGCTTTTGCTTGAAAGCTGTCTAGTATCAGTCGGGCCAATGCTTTTGTCAGTCAAATTTTTCTAATTGAATCCTGGGGAAATACCTTTTTTGGCGGAGAGCATTTTGAAAATATTTTTATAAGAAAGGGGGGATATACACTGCATAGTATACGCAGACGAAATTCGCAATATTTTCCAATTGGAATCATAAGTGCTTCAAGTTTCCTTTTAATCGCTCTTGTTTCGATTTTTGTAGAACGGCGCGTGATGTTGAGGCTAACTAGTACCCTGCTACACCATAAAAATTGTTTTCCAGGAACAGAGGTGCTTTTCTGTTCATGGGGTGACAGAGGGGGGACTTCTATGATTCCCTTGCCAGCCATTCGTTACATGGCCCTTCTCTCATCCGCTTCCTTCCCGCAGATGTGCAACGTCTTCGCCCGCACGTGGGACAACGGAAATCGGCGAGGCGGCTGCGGGCTCTCCTGCACTCCTACACTTACCCCAGCCTTTATCGTCCATAGAGTAATGGAGGGACGTCGTGAAGCGACTTGAATAAGGAAATGGTGCTCACCCTGAGAGAAGGCCGCTGGGAGGAAAAAGAAACGGGCATATATATAATCAATATGGTAGATGGAAGAGTTCCCTGGAGCTCTCGTCGCTACGCGCGGATTGCATTTAACGGCTTCCAATATACTTGACCTTTCAGTTGTTTCTGACCTATTAAAAGTATGGGTGCATCCGAACTCTCCGTGCGAGGGATATGATGATAATTGCACACACGCAGCCCGAGAATTCTAGGAATTCAAGGGTTAATCTCGTTTATGCGTAATGAGGTGGACTCATCAGCACGGATCTTGTCTACAACGATATTATCTGTATAATTTAATTTTTTCTAGGCCCCATGGAGTTCTCTTACCATGTTGAATAGGGGTTCTCGATCTTGAGCGAAATTCGCTTTGCAGCGATTTCTTTCTGGTCGCTTGAATTTCGTTGTATGGAGTCCACCTGATACCGAAGATTATGCAATGATTCCCAGTCTTCCATGACTTCCTTGAACATTAAAAAAAATAATTCCGGACCATTTCGTCTCTTTTAAGCCAGAAAATCTCAGAATGTGTTACAGTTTTTCTTCAAAGCAAGTTTTTCACCCATCCTCATCGCGAATCACTATTATGAGAATGCATATTGAAGTTGTTTGAACTATCAAGAGAAGAACGTATTTCATCAATCGCTAGTTTAGCTGCGACCTGCGAGTCACAGCAATTGCAAGAATGTATAACATGATTTTGTTGATCCACAATATGACGAAAGGCAAATATTTTTAAACAGTAATTTTCTATTGAAAAGTTCAGCTTCCAATTTGCTCTCATAGCGCATGCAAATCAATGTCGAGAAAAAGCTGTCCTCGAAATATAACACAGTTTCTATAATTTTCACTAATAAATAAAAATAATGCGTTACCGAATTTAAATTCAGACGTGCTTGCTGTCGTCAGACTGGATGAAACTTCTTCCAAAAAAATTGGCATACTTTCGTATTCTCGCTTGAATCGTCTCGATTTCCATATCAACGACATTTGAGTAATACCTGAGCAAATTCCATTTTTTTCACTTCAGCTAATGTGAGAATCCGGGTTTCTCACGTATATTATGACTTCTTGCACTCAATAGTTGGCTAGAACACGAGAATTAAGAGGTACTTAATCTTCCGATTACAGCTGACCTACTTAGGAAAAACACTGATCTAAGCCTTCATACGAGACCATCTCATGCAGCGAATCACACGCATTAAATTAGTGCATTTTTCAATTTCCCGCGAACACAGTTGACAAGCACTTTTGATTAACGTCGGAACTGTGCGGCTCGGAAAATGGCTTTATTCTCCTGAAGGACGAGGAGATGCTTCGTTCCAAATATAAGAGCGACCATGTTTACTGTACCAGAGTTTAATCGACATTCTCTTATGCTTGCATGTTTTGTGGCATGGAAGAACATCCGGTATGTATACTCATGCTGCCATGCATTCGCCAACATACTCACGATGAGCGAATGCAACGACCTGTCCCGAGGTTCTCTCATCTGTTGCACGCTTCGAAGCCATGAATAATTTGCTTTGATTCACAATCATGGGATTCCTTACTCGAGATATCCTGATTTCACATGCTGATCCAGTCAATACAGCATGTATTAGAATTGTTTCTTCCGTTTTAAGCTCATTTGGACACCACGCAATAAGTTAATTTACGAGATTCTCAATAGATTTCAAATTACTGGAATGCCTTCCAGAATGAAAATTTTCAAACTACTCGAGGTAGGCAAGTTCTTTCACCCTAACTACGTTCCATGTGATGTAACGGGAAAATTGGCTGTCGTTGAATCCAAATATCTTATCAATTTAAACCGAATGAGAAATCCGAATTCATGCCGCAGATCTTCAAAAATAATCGTGTGCAATCGGTCTGAGCAGCTGTACAAGATTGTTTGCTTAAAGTTCAGCTACAATTGGTTTTTCAAATCAAACGAAAAATGTTCGGATTACTTCGAGGTTTTTGGACGTAAAAATAGCATTTTTTTTCATTAAGTTCCTTGTTTTATGTTGTATTTGTTATAATCATATTCGCCCGAGGATTTGGAGACACTACCGTTTCGGATACCGATGATATACCGTATACAAGCATCTAAAAAGTTCAAGGCTTTGTTTTCAATGCTGGATACCGTCAAAGACGGGATTAATTCAGAGACATTACAAGAGTTTTTCTCATGCATTCTGAAGCTAAGATTATCTCGGATTTCCAGTGTACAGTACTTATGTTTTAATTGAAAATGCCTAGCTCTGAATCGGGTTCTTTGCGTTCACAGCTCCTTCAAGTTATCCAAGTACGAATTGTTTAGCCACAAACATCATGACATGCTTTCAGGTGCAGAAAATCTGGAAACGTATCCTTCGCTCTTTGCAAGATAATGCATTGCCCCTTCAAACTGAAAACAATTTGAATCTTACGTGCATGTGGAATATTTGTTCCATCACGGGGCAAATTTTCATAAATCAAAAATTTAATATTTTTATGCGTCATGAATTCATACCGTACTTTGTTCCGGTAGACTTCCATCAATTTGTGAATCGATTTTATTCTGGTAATCTTCAAGTACGAGAAGTTGAATTTTCAATTGACAGGCAATCTCAAAAATTCAAGAATTGGCGATACATTTTTCATTCAGCGCAGAATGAAATGATCGTTAAATCAACAAATTTGAAAATCCCTCCTACTTGTAATCGCGTTCTCGAGTAGGTAACGCATTGTATGTTAGCAGCGGAACATTCGCATGGATCAAGCTTTTCTCGGTGTCAAGCTTTTTGTGAAGGAAAAAGGAGAAAAATAGGAAGAGAGAAAAATAGCTCTTTCATCCGCTGTTCTTATTTGACCAATGAAAGCAAACGAGTTCAAGAGCTCGGGGAGCAATAAAAGCGCATCTGGGGTCCGCCCGCCAGGACCACAGAAGCGAAAACCCTTGTTTCTCGGGCCCACTCATTTTTCCTGTCCAACGCGTTTACTCTCTCGTAGCGAAGCGGAAGTCGAGAGAATTCGACGGGGAAAAAAAATCGGGATAATTTTTTCATCTTTCAGAGAGCCACAGGTTTTGCAATCGAGTTCAAGACGCGTACACGCTACGGTGCTGTCCGCAAGTGCACGGCATTGCTCAAGACACCATCGAATTCGTGCGAAACATTATCACAACCGAAATGAACAGCGCCACAGACAACCCGGTGAGTCGGTCATATCTTTCCCGTTCATCTTTTACGTCGCACAAAGGATTTTCCCTTGAGGAATGCTCACGCAAGAAGGCGAAATGCAAGTACAAAAGAGCATCCGAGACGCAATGCTCATGTTGAAAACGAGGAACGATGAACCTTGCGTATTTCTTTTTTTTTTGGCCTGAACTCTGAAGATATAGCCGTTTCTACGCGAATGCGAGACGCCTCCACGAAAACCTGAGCGCATCATAGAATCGATGACTCTTCAGATTTACACGGAAAAATCATACTTGATGGTGGGACCTTCCAAAAATAGACGCCGATTCAGAAGATTAATTCTAAATTTCATGCACTGCAAAAGTTTTTATATCGCATTTTCTCGCTGAAGACAACTTCATAGCTCAAGCTAGACCACATGTGTCGTAAAAGTAATGCGAATAAGAGAAAGACTTCAGTACGTTTTTGTGTACCTTTTTGCGTTGGTTAAAATTCAGAATGGATTGTTCACCCGGAAAATCCATATGATCGCGTGAGAATGATTAAAATGTTCTCTAAATTCCGTGGATTCGGTGAAGAGAAGAAACGTGATTGGGTGTCAGCAGCAAGAGTTCCCTGACCCAAATTCCCCCTCTTCATCAAAACTTACTCGGTTTCTTGGAAAAAAATTTTTTATGTTTCTTTGTTGTAACTAATTTCCCTCAAGGCGAATTTTTTTTTCAATGGCAGGTTTGAACCAAGATGATTAAAGTTAATTTAGTTTCTTATTTTCATCTAAAATTCAATGGGGAGCTTCTAAAATTTAAGGACCCATATCAATGATTCCATGTCGAGTTATCGGGGAATCGTATAAATAAGTTATTCAAATCCATCGAATTGTGAGCCCTCTTACAAGCGATTTCCAACACAATGCGGGTCAAAATGTGGCTTGTTTGTTGGCCATCAAAATGGCTTGTCGGTTGATTCAATTTCGCGTTGCATGTCGAGGAATCGTAAATAAGTTATGTTCAAATTAAAAAAAAAAATATTGTGAGCCCTCTAAAAGGGGATTTCCAGCGCAACGTGGGTAAAAATAGCCAGTCGGTTGACCATCGAAGCCTATCAGAATTGAACGCAACTTCACGAATTTTCAGTCTCATAGGACGGACAATGTAGCGCGAAATCAGAGCTTGAGTTGAAAGAAAGTAAATTCTTCTTTTGCTCATGTTCCCTTGAGATTTGGCGGGCCACGAAGGGCTCGAAGGAGCATAGATTAATCAAAAACAGGAGAGAAGGCTTTCAAGCGCAGCTGACGGGTGCGGGTTTGCTTTCGAATTAGCTGGTGCTTCCTCAGCGGAAGGAAATCATCTCGGCCGGAAACTTCCACGGGGAGTATCCCGCGAAGGCTTTGGACTTCCTCGCCATCGCAGTCCACGAGTTGGGTAGCATGAGCGAGCGCAGAATCGAGCGCTTGGTCAATCCAGGTGAGTGATTAAAAAAAAGAAAGATTATTAAGCACATTTCCAGCACCTGAATCATGGCCTCTTTGAATGTTTTTCAATTAACGATTCCTGCCTCGGTTCTCCTTCGCAATTCTCGGAGAGCTTTCTTGAACGAGGCACCCGCGTGTAGTTCGAGCTCTGAAAGCGGAAAAAATATGAAAAGATTCTCGAAAGCGCAAGCAGATCCAGTTTTATTCCTTCAAGTGAAGAGTTGTTTAATTTCCGCGTCTTGAACAAATTAAAATTTTAACTTTCTGGCGTGGAACAGGGAGAGAGGAATGAAGTATAACGGGTCTTACAAGAAATTATGAAGTGAAATAAGCAGCCGCAAGCAGCACATTTTATTCATTATAATAAATTTCTTCGAAAAGATGGAGAAACGAGGTGAAAAAACCAGGAAAAAGTTTGATGCTTAAAGAAAGAAACACGTCTTGAGCTTTTCATCCCAAGTTTTCACCAGAAAGCCAAGTGCGTAATGAGCTTTTCAAGGGCGCTGGTTCAGCGGTTAATCTGAACCCTGATGCTTCAATGAGACCCTGCTGTTCTGAGCTGCTGTAAGGAACATTTGTTCTATGCGTTTTTCCGTGAACAGCCCTCAGCGAATTACCGGGTTTCCTGACGAAAAACGGCGGCCTCAATTCAGGATTCATGATTGCCCACTGCACCGCTGCTTCTTTGGGTGAGAAAACTTATCGCAAATTTTTTTTTGTCTTCCGTATGCAGGATTGACCCAACTTCTAACAACGTGTTCCCAATCCCGGTGCGCAAAAAGTTTCAAAACATACTTTCATGGCGAAGGAGGCAACTTCTACAATACTCTCGAATTTACTGGTTCAAGTACTGTATGGGCCATTACTGCAGCTGACATGTGGGCTTGGTTTCCGTAAATAGTTTGAGACAATAAATGTTAAATTCTACTTATGTTCTCGCGAGTTTACAGTTTCACCCACTATTTTACTTTTCTTGCTGAAGGGATTCAGACAGGTGCCCCTGCAGTGACACATTTTCAGTTAAATGCCCGGCATTTGCTCATCAGAGATCCGTTTGATACTTAATGAATTATTATAATCTAACCAAGCTCAGCATTGCGACGGTTATGTCAACCTCACTGATTAAAGCTCTTTTTTCCCGACTTTTTCTTTGCAGTTTCGGAAAACAAGGTATTGTGCCATCCAGCCAGCGTGGATTCTTTGTCCACCAGCGCAGCTCAAGAGGACCACGTGTCGATGGGCGCATTCGCAGCTAGAAAAGCTCTTCAGGTGCTGTTTGCAAGCAGTTTCCGTTTCTTTCTTTTGTTTTACTAGCATTAACAGTAAACAGACAGAGAACTACATTTTAGCACTCGATATCGCGATACGTTTCATAATGCACTTTATATAGCCATAGCTCAGAAAAGTGTTGAGCTGTGAAAAATTTCATCTCACTGAACGTGATCACGTGAACAGCGAGAAAACGGATCTGAAACATAATCGTACATTAATTCCGAATGTTCGATTGACTTGTGGCACTTATTTTTTATTGGGTTTTCCTTGCGCATTTTTTCTTGTGTTCATTAATTGTTTGATGCTTTCGCTGTGTTACCTTGTTAATTATATTCGAATTGTTTCTCGAATATTTTAAAAATACATCACGTTGAATAAACTAGGAATAATCATGTATGGTGCCCTCGAAATGCATTTTCTTAGCTAAAAACTGGCTGATTGCTCCGCGTACTAATTACATTCCCCTGCACAAAATCGGTCACTGTATACTATCTTGGGGCCCTGATACCCTGGCAGCAATAGAAGGCTTTTTTTGTTATGGCGTATAAAGCAGCCAAAGTATCCTCTGCAATGATCAGTCCATGAGATATGCTGTTTGATGATTCCGTAGCTTGGGAATAATTCCATGCCTTATGTTCTTCAATCAGGTGGTTCAAAACGTTGAGCACGTGGTGGGGATCGAGTTGCTAGCAGCGTGCCAAGCCATGGAATTTTTGCGCCCACTGAGAACCACGGTACCTCTGGAAGAAGTTTACCGCTTAGTGCGAAGACGCATCAGGTAATCCTCCCTGCTCAGCATTCAAATGCTTGCGGAATAGCTCCCGAAAGGATCCTGGCGAGATCAGTTCACGTGATCCTCAGAAGCCGCAGGGGGATCAAAAAATTCTACTCCTTATTTCTAAAGATGCGTCCGATGGATCGGAGTTAATCTTTCAAATAATCACACTCTCAAAATACGAAATTCGGGGTCATTGAATTCAGTAGAGTCTTGGTTATCCTATTAATGATAGTGTTTTCCCTGGATGATGAGACATTGCCGCTATGTTAATTGAAACTGTACAAATGTTCCTGAGATCAGGAGACAATTTCCAACCGCATGCTCTGACGTGAAGCGATGACCTGATATTATCGCAAACCTTGAAAGAAAATCATCTCCCGATTGGCAAAAGGAACTCTTCTTTCGACAGTTCCGTATGTGATACTTTTTCAGGTTTCTGCTTCTCAACATGTTAATCTCAGAGTTTATGAGAATTTTCCAAAAAATGCAAGATAGAAATAAAGCGGCTCATATTAAATTTTTGCCTCCGTATAGATCGGTTTTTTTTTTTCGTTGACGGCCGTCGAGTTTGGACATAGATGATCGAGGATATATTAAACCCTCGTACTTCGTTGCTAAACGAATTTCATCTGTGTGCGTAGGTTTCCGAAATGGGCGAAAACTTCAAGCACAGTTTCTTCGTCTTGCTCTTTCCAGGCCCTGGGACTGTGACAGATTCATGGCCCCAGATATAGACGCCGTGTCCGAGATAATTCGTAATGGGGAAATATGGCATACAGTCAAGGCCCACATCGATCAATTCTACGATAAGGAGGTGAGTTTCTGTTTGTCTTTGGTTCATTGAAAATAGTGTCACGTTTGGAATATTGATGAAAACATCGTCAAGAGAAAAGTTTTTCCGAATTTTTTGGATCGCTGAAGGTCATATGACACTGTGGTGTGCATTCGGGTTCGTTTTGACCATGTCGTGACTCGTGAGTGAGCCCTCGATTTCTGGAATGGAAAAATTCACTCGATTTGTCATTTCTTCATTCAAAATATGTGCATATTCGATTTAAATTTTCTCAGTGAGAATAATGTTCGATGCATACTTTTCCCCCATTTCTAAATTTATGGGTCCCTTAAGGTAAGCCAGTTTCAGAAATGAAGCGGAAAAATCCAGCATAAAATCTTTTTTGAGACTAGAGGTGCCTTGAATGAACCTTAATGTAATGGATCATTAAAAATCTTCCTATGAGTTAGTATCTATACTTTTACGAGCCATATAGATGTATGGGAACAGAGGCTTACATGAATGAAGACCAACTTGGCAAAGGAATACCATAACAAGTCGTGTCAATCCATCCTTATGATGACTGATGGTGGCGATGTTCTCATTTCTTCGGTTCCGTTGGGTGATAAGTAATCCTTTCGTTCTTCAAAAGCTGTGATCCGTAACGGTGAAAATCATCCGTCACTTCGACCATAGCATCGCGTGGAAGTCAATCACTCTTGCATGACCATAAAAGTCGTTTAAGAACGTTTAAAGTACATTTTATAGTACTGAATTCTCACAATTAGAACCACCCGACATCAGTACAGTGTAGTAATTTGCTTCTATTTGGATTTTGGAACATTGAGGACGTAATTTTCAACGACACCCATCAGATATCAGAAAAGTGTTCAAAAATACCTCATGCTCGTCATGGAATTTTACGCATATGGATTCAGAAGCGGGAGATCCCGTCAAAAAACCATAATGATTTTTATACAGAAGTGCTTTAAAGTAAATGAAAAAACCATTGACCCTTCAAGGAACATAATTATCTCGATGATGCATTGCTTTTGGAAAATTAACGCGTCAGGCAAGCTGATCCAATGCCCAGAAATGAGTTATTCAAGCTGAAGCTATTGAGAGAGAAATTCCCGACTAATAATGCAGCCCCCCCCCCCCCGAAATTCTCTCCTTCGTCAAGAAAATATTTTCGAGTCGTTCCGAGTTGAGGTTCAGGAAGACAAATTAGTATGGAAATTTTCTTCTCAATTGCGATTTTTTGTAAGTACTGTATTTCTCATCATCTGATGCACAAATACATTCGGAAGGAAGATACATTCCCCGGAATTACTGTTAATTTCTTGTTCGTTGTATCTGTAACAACTTTCAGAATCAGGTGACCCATTATTTCTAACCCATCTTCTTTTTTGAAACGTATGTTAATAATTTACAGTCAATATGATACGAAATGATTCACGGGTATCGAGGAACTTGAAGCTCCAAAATTGTATGGTTGAAAAATCTTTCGATTTTCCTGTCGATGGTTTCTCTAAAGCTTTTATGGAGTTTTTAACTGCATAAAACGAAGAAAATGACGCCATAAATTCCTTTTCGATGACCTAGATAATGCACAAACAGATTACCGTATTAAGTTTCATAAACATGAGGATATAAATGTTTCATAAGCATGAGTACGTAGTGGACGTACAGTACTTGATGCTGGTAATGGTTCAGTCACGCATTTATTAATAATCACCAGTAAGTGGGCACCGGCACTTTCCTGTTGCATTGGGGCTAAACTCGATCATTGTGAACAAAGAAAAGGCTCTCAAAGGAAGGTATTGGTTCTGCTACGTGCACATTGTCAGAAGGTTCAGATGTAATGCTGTAAATTTTAAATACACTTGATTGAATCCCGAAATACGTACAGTACTTCAAATGGCAAACAATATGAAGTCTAGTTAGGTCAGGTGTTCGTCATGTCTCACGTGTCCTTAAAAGTTTAAACATCTGCCCACTTCAATTTCCGACAGCGCTTTGGTCTCGATCGACTCGGTAACAGGAGTTTCATTCTTCTACGCGCAGCGTATATGAGTGATCGACAATAATAGCGAAAAAGTATACACGTCTTCGTGTCCAAGAAGATGAAGTACTTGCATTTCAGATACTGAACACCAAGCGCTTATACTTTTCGGGGCAACTACCAACTCGAATTTGGTGTCACGCTAGTTTTCAGCTTACCGTATCAAAGAATGTACCGTGATGTTAGTGGCTTCGGAATATAGAATATTCTGAAGAAAGTGAAGTTTCTTCCAAGAGCACTTGAGCTAGTCGATGAAGACTAGATCCCGAAACTTTTCAAATCTTTCCAGGAAATGAAAATTATATGCACAATGGCCTCATTCCAGCTCGACTGAACCCATCCCCCCTTCCAAAATCGATGTAAACTTCGGCGTATTAGAAAAAGTGCGACTTATAATTTTATGGCATATTTCAATGATCTTTTCTGCTTTCTTTTCATGACAAGCATCAAATATTGATCGTTATAAGTTTGCCCCAGACTCTTCTGGCTTAAAAGTTTGGGAGCACGAACGTTCAAAACAGCGGTAACGGTTTAAACGCCATCAGGAACGTCTAAATTAATGTCTTACACAATGATCTCCTGAACAATATTTCCTGGTATTTCCGTCCCCGGAATTTCCTGTACCTTCAGCTTGTACCGTGGGATTCCTGCTCATACCTCCAGTCAATTTAACGTCCTCTTCATTTTGCGGGCTCTTTGAGAACCAGTAACTTAATTATTAACAGCGTCACGTGTACTTCCCACGTGAAGTTTCCCTTCTATATACGTGTTCGGTCAGCGGAAAAGTTGGCCATAGCGCTGGGGGAATCGTGATCGTGACCCGACAGTTGAGGGCATCCCGAAGTGTCAAACAGCGGCACTAGAGAACACCAACAATATTTTTGTAGAACACTTTCGTGCAACGCAACTTTTGCGTTACCTAGTTTCTCAGAGTCACTTGGAGATGCAGTTGTGCTCTGCCATGGTCAGTCATAAGAAAAGTTTTCGTAAAATTAGTACAGATAGATTCTCTGTACAACGAAACTGTCTTTACAGCGGATTTTTCTGGTCCCTTGAATTTCGTTCTCTACAACGTAATTTATATATAACGACGTTCTCTGCAGCGAGTTTTGTTCTGGTCACTTGAACTTCGTCGTAGAGAACGCCTTCAACATGGGGAGATAATCCAATGGGTCTGAAAAATTAAATCGTTGTACAGAGAAAACCGTTGTAGAAAAGATTGTTGTGGAGAGTTCACCTGTATTAGGTGAATGAACGCAATGGCATTACAAACTGAAACATCTTGGTAACCTTTATTTGCCGATGAAAGGCAATTTCCAGACGCGGTATTCTGACATACACTGTTTTTTGCTGCGCCCAGAACAGGCCGAATACAGCAGGTCAGAATATAAAACCAGGGCATCGATATGTTCCGGCTTTGGGTTATGAAACTCGCCAGGCTTGGATCTGAACGAATTGTTTGAATTCCCGCTGGGAACGTGATATGAGAATAAGTTGGAAATCCAATCCGGGCTCACGATGCATCGAGATTTTGAGCGGATTTCAACATGCTTTGAACCCGTACACGCGGCGGAATTGCTGGGCTTGGATATGTATGAATAGTTTCCTCGTGGAAATCTGAAATCGCGACTTTTTCTTCGGATCTCAAAATTCAGTTTCCGGGCACGGAAAATATTGCTCAAAGTCGGGGCATTTTCGTCGCAATGCGACTGTACACGGTGACAAATATCGTGAACAGGAACCATGTACCGAAGTACAACGATTTTTTTTCCGGGGGTTTTTTCCTGCTCTAAGCGCAGTTACTTCTTGATGAGGTGATTCATCTGCAACTAAGACTCGGAAGAAAATCTTTATGACAGGGAGTAAAGAGCACGTTATAAAGTGTGATCCAAAGAAAGATGGACACGGCGAAAGAATAGTAAACAGTCTTGAATCTTCCCAACAAAAGTTTAACGTCTGTAATGAGGAAGTAACATTTTTTGCACTTTCAACTAGCAGGTAGGGGAAACCACTTCTAATTTTTGGATAATGAAATAATGTTCCCCTCTTTCACATGGTCCACCTTTTTCAGCAAAGATTTCATACTTGCACGGGGAGGTCCTGGAAACAAAAGATTAATTCGATTGACTGAAACATTGGCAAGGATTAACTCTTTAGCCTCGTAACC